AGGAGGAGGAGGAGGAGCAGGAGGAGGAGCAGGAGAAAAGAAAAAGCTTATATGGAATGGGAATGAGGCTCAGCAGCGCAAACACCTGCCTGGCAAGCTCAAGGTCCTAAGTTCAATTCTCCAGTATCAAAAGAAAGAAAAGTTTGTTCATCTTCTTCACAGAACTACGTATTTGAGATCTTTGCCTATTTTATTATTGGGTTGCTTGTTTTTTATTGAGTGCTAAGAATTCTCTATATATCCTGGTTATTAATCTCTTGCCAGATAAGATTTTACAAATATTTTATCCCACTCATTGAGTTGACTTTTTACTCTGACAATAGTATCCTTTATGCATAAAAGTTTTTAATTTCTTTCTTTTTTTTTTTTTTTTTTTTGGAACCAGGGATTGAACTCAGGCTCTTGTGCTTGCCAGGGAAGCACTTATTCTACTGAGCCATCTCCCCGCCCCTTGCCTACCTTTAATTTCTTTCTCTTATCTAATTGCTCTGGTAAGGACTTTTAGTATTATAGTCAAATATAAGTAGGAAGAATAGGAATCCTTACCCTATTCCTGACTTCAGAGAGTGAAACAGACATTTCTCTTAAGAATGACTCTGCAGTTTGAGAGTACTGGAGGGTTTGGGTCACTGAGCGTGGTTCGAGATCCTACCTGGAGCTGCCATCATGGGCATGTGCTTGGTCATTCTCAGAGTGGCCACTGTATACATCCACCAGTTCAGTAACAGCAGCAAGGAAAAAAGGATTGCCCACTTTCCCTACCTGTGGAGTTCGATGGAAAGAGACAGGCACATCTCTGGAGTTAGCCATTACTATGTGTCAAAGGGTTTGGAGAACATTGATTAAGGAAGCATTTTCCTGATTGATGGAAAAATAACTCAGTTACGGTCCTCTAACCCTGCTGGAAGCTTAAGCAGTATATTATGTGACGTGCAGTTTCATTTAGTGTGTTATATAATGCTTAATAAAAGCAAAATGAAAAACAAACAAACAAAAAAGAATTACTCTGCAGAACTTTGTCTTTTTATATTTTTTTAGCATATGTTTGCAATGATTACATTCATTGGAGGAGTTGATTTGCCATAACACATCCAATTCTTTCTATTTCTTCTTATTCTCCCCTCCCTCCCTCTATCCTTCCCACCTTCCCTCCATCTCTTGGTCCCAACCCCTTATAATGTGGCCATTATTTAAACTTTTTTTTCTGAGACAGGGTCTCGCTATGTAGTTCAGGCTGTCCTTGAATGCACCATGTAGTCCAGCCTGGCCTCACACTCGTGGCAGCCCTGCCTCAGTCTCTTGAATGCTGAGATTATTGGATGTAGCACCACACACATGTTTCTAGAATGAATCAATACTTACTGTCTCCTAAACTTTTTAACATGAGAAAAAAATTAAAAACATAAAAGGTCACCTACAAACTGCAAATCTAGAAGGAACCCTGTTAACATCTTTTGTATTTTCTTCTGGTCTTATTCTTAAACGTATGTTGAATACTAACTAGTTTGGGAATACTCTATGTACATAGTTTTGTAAGTTTGTTGGATTTATTAGGACATTGTCTACATGCTTACCTAAAGTCTACAGACTTATTTAATGATGCACAATGTGCTGCCAATTAAGCATCTCCTCTAGTTATGGAAAATAAAAATAGTAAGAAAAAATTAGAAGTGATACAGAATTTCACTGAAGTGATAAGAATTCAGTGATGGTTGTGATATTGCATATTGTTGGCTTCAAATTAATTGTTCAGATTACCAGATATAAGCATTCAAAATTGGTCAAAAAATTAAAAAGAAGAGAAAGAGTTTTAAGCATTAACTGTTCCTTTCAATAGACCTGTAGAAATCAGCAGTACAATTATCCAAGCTATCCTGAATATATACCCATGTTTTTCCCTTCCTTCTTTCTTTTCTCCTTTCCCTCATGTCAGTTGTTCCTTCCTTTTGAACCTTAAGTTCCTTTCACTTTATTATTATAAATATTCTTTAGGTATATCTTCGTCTATAACATAAAGATAATTAATAGTCAATATATGATTATTTTATTACACAGACTTCTGGTTGCTTCCTGGGTAGCTGGCAGTATAATTTAAAGCTTGGAATGTAATTGCCCACACTTCTTTTCCAAGTGGAAAGTGGACTCAGCATATACCCAATCATCCAAGTTAAATTTTATTTTAATGTGGCCTACACTTTTAAATGGCTCAGTTTCATGCAGTCTCTACCCCACAAGCTGCTAGTCATGTGTACAGAGGCTCCTGTTCCTAGTTCATGCTAATAAAGTAGAAATATGATAAATACAGACACCCGCAGGGTTAAGTGGGCAAGGCGCTTCGAATGGGAACGATGAAGCGGTGCTTGCACAACCCTGGGATGACTGCTCCTCTAAACAGTGTTCAGTGGGCACCTCATTCCCCTTTTCTCAACTCTGTCCTCACAAATAATTCATATTTTCACAAAAACATGGGAGGAATAGCTAGCTAGGACCCTACCTTCATGAATCATCCAGGGTAAAGATCAGAATGTTGTGACACTAGGCCATGTTTCTAGAATGAATCAATACTTACTGTCTCCTTAAGAAGAACAGAAACACAATCTGTCTGTACTGCAGGCCCCAGGAAATGCCAGCTCAGGCCCTGGGAGGGCAAACTGACCCTATCAGAGCCAGAAGAACCATTATCTGACATTGGCTGTCATACTAAGAAATTCACATATATTGTGACCCAAAAGGGTCTGACTGGGCGATTTCCATTTCCAGTTAAAAGAGTTCATGCTTGCTTTCTCTCTTCGAGTGTGGGTGGGAGGATGTGAGAAGAGAGAGAAGGGAAGAAAGGAACTCAGAGTGTATTTCTGAGAGCAGGTGACATATAGTGAAAGGCTGAGCTGGGTAATGTTAGTGAGATGAACAGGAGTGGGAGAGATGGAGCTCAGAGCTTGAAAGAGCTAGAATTGCCAGAATGTGCTCGGCTTCTGGGTGAGAAAGAAATCTCAGTTTTTAAAGTATACAATTGGGTCGATAATGCAGGAACCAGAGAGCAGGAGGAGGAGTGGCTTGGAGAACAGAGTTCAGTAGGACATATGGCCCTCGGCATACTCGCAAGATACCAAGAGATGCCTGTTGAGTTGCAGGAGATACAGGTGTGGAGCTCAGGAGAGAAACTGGAGCCACAACTGAAGACGTGAAGGTCCTGAGTTCAGTCTCACAAGAAAGTCCTCATGGTCAGAGGTGGACGAAGTGCTCAGAGAGATCACTGATCTCTTGAAATAAAAGTAAGATCAAAGACAGATCTTTTCTGGGATGCCTGCCTCTAGCTAGGTGATTTCTTTCTGAGCTTCCCCAGTTCTCAGCCACTCCTCTGCAGGAGAAGTCATTAGCATTGTTTTTATCTTTTTCTTTTTTTTTTTTTCATTATTTAGAGAATACTTTATTAGTTTCTGTAATCAAACTTACATAGACAAGACCTGACAAATTTAAAACAGTGCATTAACCCCCGTAGAAATAGCAAAAAAATTAAGTTTAACATGTCTAGACCAATATGGCTGCTGATTTCTGTACAATGCCAACTCCACATGGTTAAATGGGATAACTTTTTCCACAGTTAAGGTTTCCAAAATTTCAATGTCTATCTGTGTGTCTGTCTGTCTATCTGCCAATAATAGCAGTACGTTATGCATCAGTAGCAGCACCAGCTTTTCCAGGTCTTTTTCATCCCATTCTGTTTTCAGACTGAGCCCTGTAAGGCTCAAATCACACCATTTTCCTTTCTCTCATGGTCAAGTCCAATGCCCGGTACATGGAAATGCTCAGGACATGTTGGGCATAAGTAAATGAGGGAGGCCTACCCCCTGCTAATCCTGTACTTCATTAATTTATCCATTCATCCACCCAGTGTGTGCTGAGGGTACTCTGCTCCCCCAGTGTGGCAGGGGAGCTCTCCCCCTAAGGTGCTGACAGCCGAGTGTAGGAGACAGACATTCATCAGATAACTTTTGAAGCGCTTCTAGGACCTCTCATTTTAAAGATGAGGACAAAGCCCCCAAATGGACAAAAAAAAAAAAACCCCTGCCACAGTCCCCCAACCTACCTGGAGTTCCCCACCCCTCACTCTTCCACTTCCTCTACATCTTTCATCATAAAATCAAAACAGACATTTATACTGACAGATACAAAACTCAAATTTAACCATCAGAAAATGTTTTAGGAAGTTAAAAACTTGAACACCAGCTATTTCATAGGATTTATTTATTTATTTATTTATCAGAACTGGGGATTGAACTCAGGCCCTTGCACTTGCCAGGGAAGCACTTATTCCACTGAGCCATCTCCCTGGCCCCATTTCATAGGTTTTAAATTAACGTCTTCTCACTTAATCCTTACTACAACCCTGTGAAGTCCATGTTAGTGCCCTGTTTTACAGGAAATAGAGGTGCACAAAGATCAGGTAGCCCGTTGAGGTTAGCCCCTGGAGTGTGGCCCCTGTGGGGGCCCTGTCAAGCTGATGAATGCTGAGCCTGGGCTCCTACCATACTGTAAGCTGCCTCACAAGTAAGTGACACTGTAGGCAAGCAACTGGACCCTTGCGATGACAATGACAGCCTCCTGAGCACAGCAGTGGCAACTCACACCCTGCAGTGGGCTGCACCACTGTTCCTTTCCCCAACAACAAAGGGGGGCAGAAGAGGCCGGTAGAGAATTTCAATCAGCACCTTGACAGCGACAGTCACCTGGGCCTCTCCTTTGCAAACATTCTCTTTTTTATTTGTTTGGTTCTTTGGCAGATCATATTTCTAATCAGCTGTGGAAACGGTTTAAAAATGTTCAAACTCACATACACAGTGAATAGAATTTAATCACAAACAAAGCTTCCTCAGAAAGGTAGTGAGGTTGGTGTTGGAGACAGATGATATTTACGAGGTGAAAAAAGAGACCGTTCTATAGCAAGTAGGATAAATACAAGCTGAGGATTCTGTCAGCGTAAGTGGGAAAAATTCAGAGTTTAAACTGCAAAAAAGTAAGCCAGTGTATTCCAGACAGAAAGCATAGAAAGCTTGTATTCAGAACAACCCTAAAGTTCATATGGAGCTGAAGAAACCCAGAATAGCAAAAGCACTTTGGGGCAAAGCAGGAGGCATACCAATACCTGACTTCACACTATACTACAAAACAAAGTGATAAAAACAGCACAGCCCTGGAACAAAAAATTGTGGCTCAGTGGAACAGAACTGAGGATGGAGAAACTTTCCCAGACATATTCAACTATCTTATCTTTAATGAAGGGGCCAAAAGCTTATGTTGGAAGAAGATAACCTATTCAGCAAGTGGTGCTGGAAAGTCAGTGGATGTTTGCAAAAGATTGAAACTAGACCTTATCTCTTATCATACACTAAATTAAAATCAAAATGGATCAAAGATCTAAATGTTAAACCCACTAGAAGATAAGATAGGTAAAACCCTTGAAGACATAAGTGTAGGAAAGGATTTTCTAAACTGAAACTCAATTATACAAGAAATATCAGCAAGAATCAATGAACAAGGGCTGGCTAAATAGTTCAGCAGATGCAGGGGCCAGGGATTCAATCCCCTCGCCTGCTGTGCCAGCCCTGCCCCCCCCCCCCCGGGGGTGCATTGAGACAGCAATTGAGACTGGGCGTGGTGGTGCATGCCTGTAATCCCAGCTCTTGAGAGGCTGTAAACAGGCAGATTACTATGAGTCCGATCTAGTAGTGAGACCCTGAACACCCTGTCCCTAAAATACAAAAAAAAAAAAAAAAAGAATCTACCAATGAGATTATATCTGACAGAAAAAGATTTTGTTCAGGGTTGGCAAGATAGCTCAGTGGTCTAAAGTGACTGCTTAGGCAAGCATGCAGGGACTGCAGTTCAGTCCCCAGCACCACATGCCACAGCAGCCCTGCCCTCAG